GCTGGAAAGTCTTTTTCTGGTGCGGGGGGGGCAGTTATAGTGTGGTCCTGGAATAGTAAAAAATTCTTGTTATGGAAAACCTAACACTAAGAGAATACACCTCTAAGGCGGCATTGGATTGTTGGATTATTACATTACCACAGAACTAACTACGTATCTACAGATTTCCCCCAAATATTTTCTACTCAAACATTTTTCACTCTTCAAACTCAAGAATTAAAGTGAACCTTAGAAACCATTAAGTCTAACTTCTTAAATATTCGATGCCTGCTTCTCCTTGACTGCTAATAAGTGACGATAGATAAAACAAATTGAACAAGTCTCTAATGAATAGCAATGCAAGACTCAAATATTTCTTTTTTTAATATGTCTTCATTAATTTCAGAGAGAGGAAGGGAGAGGGAGAGAGAGAGAGAAACATCAATTATGAGTCCTTGATCCACTGCCTCCTGCATGCACCCTACTGGGGATCGAGCCTGCAACCTGGGGCATGTATCCTGACCAGGAATCAAACCTCGATCTCTTGGATCCTAGGTCGATGCTCAACTTCTGAGCATGCCAGCTGGGCTCAGATATTTCTTTAAAATAGCTTGCATATTTTTTGAGTTACGGAGACCCGTATAATACAGTCAGATGTTCAATTTGATAAAATAATTCTTTAATTACAAGACAATTATAAATCATCAGTATCTTGTGGCATTAAGCAGAAAGTGCCAGGATGACTAAATAGAGGGGGGGCAAAGATTGGTTTACAGTTGTGAGTACATGAAACAGAGGTTTTTCTTGTATTATTATTTATTATTGTATTATTTTCCATATGAACAACTATAAATCTACTTTCGCCCCACCCTGAATGAATTTGAGACCCACTGTGAACATATTCATTCTCTTGAGTCAACAAATACTTTTTAATTAAATGCCACTCTATCTTAGATACTGTGTCAGTTATTTAGGATACAAACATAAGTAAAACTGAGGGTACAAGTGTTTCCCTTCTTTTTTTTCTTCTTTTTTTTTTTAATGAAAGGCCTAACATTGTTTTTCCCTCTTCCCTAAGTCTCATGTTTTGGGTTATTTACCCTGAAATTGTATTTATTAAGTTGGTTTTTCCATTTAAAAAACAAATTGATTTTAGCATTATGGTTAGCGTGAGACAGTCTTCAGTGAGTTGATATAATTTTTTGCCAAAACAGTCTTATCTGGAGTAAAAGTATAATTTTCCTTTAGGTGATTTTTTTTTTTTTTTTAATTGAAAGTGCTCCTGAATTCCCTTTATTACCTCTCCTAAGGCTTGACTATCTCATGTCATCCCTGGATGAGATACCCTTTCCTCGCTTAATTAATAACATCCTGATTCCATAATACTTGACTAAAGTCTTTTTGCCTCTTTTCTGTCCCTGTTTATTAATATATTAGATTATATGATTAAAATTGAGCTACTTTATCCTAGAAAGCTAGCTCTGATACTTCGGAAAGAATGGAAGGATGTCCTTTAGGTCATAGTTGAACTCCGTCTTTAGAAAACCTCTGTATTTGAAAATCAAATTAATCTGGTTGTTGTATAGATCACTAAACAGGCTATAGCAAGAATATAATTAGTTTTTTAGTACTGGAGAATTTGAATTCTGTTTTGAGTAGGAAGTCTTTTTTCTTTTTTTAAGTAGAAACTATAGGGAATAATTAATGCGCTTGATGTTTCCAGTTAATGTTTCCTGAGAGGTAGCATATATCATGTTATGGTTACTAAGAAAAAATACCTCAGTGATGCTAAAGTAATTGTTTTTATGCTATGAAGATTATCAGTTTCAGAAGTTTGCAAAAGTGAAACTTTGGCCCAAGTGACGTGGTTCAGTGGTCGAGCATTGACCTATGATCCAGGAGATTGAGGTTAGATTCCCAGTCAGGGCACATGCCCGGGTTGTGGGCTCGATCCCCAGTCAGGGGTGTGCAGGAGGCAGCCGATCAATGACTCTCTCATCATTGATGTTTCTGTCTCTCTCTCTCTCTCTCCCTCTCCCTCTCTCTGAAATCAATAAAGACATTTTTAAAAAAAAGTGAAACTTTGATTTGGAAATACATGTACCATTTTTTACTCGGTGTTTCTCAAAATTGTATGTAATCACCATTTTAATAAGTGAAATTATATTTAAATGCACTAACACATAGCTCACTATAGAGACCTATTTTGGATAGTTTTGCAAGTCAGAGAATAGTCATCCTAATTTTGTATTCTTGATTTTCACATACATATTTGAGTCACTTGAAAAGTAAGAAATAGATTTAAAGATGTTAGGTCAGGTTTATCAGTTTAATGGCCTTTTGGAAGAAGATTTTTTTACTTTTATGTGGATTTTATGTTTACTTTTGCTTTATTAGGGTTAATCTTTAAAAGCAATTTTAGACATCTTTAAAGGACAACTTCAGACATTTTTAAGCTTTTGAACCATATATGCATTGGCTCCACAAGTGTTCTGTCCTCCCCCCCTCGTGCCAGAAGTTTAAAGTGGTAAGATTATTTTTTCTAATTATAGGTAATACATGGAGTGTAGGACTTTATTTTGATCACTGCCATATGCCCAGTGCCTTCCAACAGTGCCTGATATGTAGTGACAATTCAATAAGTATTTGTAATAAATAGTTGTTGTTGAATGAGTCTTAGTAAGGGGAAAGGCAGTAGAGATAAATTGTGTTCTTACATCTGTTGACTATCCAACCAGTTTTTAATCACTTCAGAAGCTTCTTCATTTCTAATTTATTTGTATAGGAAGTCATGTGCCTTCAGTGTAGGTGATTACCAGATTTTGGTTTCCTTTAATATGTTTTTCCCAATTGTTCTATTCCTGGATTTTGTCTCTTTAAAAATAGTATTTCTCAAAAAACGTTATTTCTCTACATTCCAGGTCTTTGGGCCAATTTTGTAGATTGGTATATCCCTAACTTTTAAAATCAAAACTAATTCATAAGGGATTGTTCTTAGAAACAGAGTGGCTATGGGCAAGCAGTGGATTTTTATTTTTGGCCTATTCTCCACTTATAATAATACCTTTACACTTTAGCCAGAGATGTATATATGATTATTTTAGCACTTTTGTCATTGTAGAAGTAAAACTGCCTTTTAAAATACAGAAAGTACAATTCTAGTTGGTCAATGAAACATTTAAAGTTTTTTTCTCTTCATAAAATTTTTATTGAGATATAATTAACATACAACATTATGTGAGTTCTAGGTGTACAACATAATTTGATAGGTGTATATTTAAAGTTTTGCTTTTAAAATATAAATGTCGGGTTTTGCCTCATCACATGAATTCATTATTGGCACATTCTAGATTTGGTATGTTTTCCTCTTTCCCTTCTCTAGTTGGCCAGATCAAAGTCATAGCATCTATAGATCTTTGGCTGAGGAGGACAGTTTCATTTTAGGGAAGTATTTAGTTTTGGTTGAAGTTGCCTTCTTTGGAGTAAAATAAGAAATCCATTTTCTTAATGGATTTTAAGAAATATTTGCCCCCTTTACAAGAAACCAAGAAATAGGGACCTGGATAGAGAGTTCAACTTGTTTTTAAAGGAAGTTGAATTTTCTGGAGAATATCGTATTAGCAAACATTCTGTTGCTACCTATCTTTTGAAATTCATCGCTATAAGTTGTTATTCATATGTTTCATAGCAGTGTTTTTATGATAGGATTTATCAGTGATCACAAATGAATAAATTGAAGGGATTTTTTTTTTAATGCTTTAATTTCTTCCTGTATGTATTATTTGGTGTAC